GATAGAACTGCAGCTAACAATGGCAATATACATATTTTTTGAATCTTTAAATACTCTTCCTCTGGTCGGGAACAATAAAATATCCCTTCATTAAAACTTTTAAGACGGAAAAGGATAGAATTCGGCTCAGGTTATAAGGGTAACAGTAAAGAGTGAAAATGGGAAGTGTATTTGCAATGTGGTTGCCTGATCGCACAAAGTCGACAGCCTCAAAGGAACATCCTGATGCCAGATTCAGTGGTTACCAGAGAGGCACCAAGTAAAGGACCACCAGGAATGGTCTGCGTTGTGAAGAAATTCTGAAGGACTCCAGAATTACCCTTTGTTTTTTAAGTGTGCTTTGATGAATAAATGAAAACAATGCCTCGTATGCATCAATGCATTCGGTTCGATGTAATACAAACACGAAAGATAGTGAGATGAATAAGAACAACGAGCATGTGTTGGCTGCTTTTGAGGTTTACTCTGGAAGCCAACGCGTAGATACACACGCGTAATTAGACGCCACTTACATTAAATTGCGCCATTGCACCAGTCGTACACACAAGTGGGTGAAGGGAGTTGAGCATAATCTATTTCAGAAGGTTCTAAAGGTCCAACGAAAAACAAACTAAACTACAGAGAAAGAAGGGAGTTGAACGGAGTGGAATATGTGCAAAGTGATGACAAGTTGATGAGTAGGGGACGCCCAACTCCTGATATCAAGAAAGCATTTGAGGAAATAGGCACGTGGGGCGTATCCATTCGAGCTACGATTTTATATTGAGCCAAATAATAGATAACAGTTGGACGTATCTCCTAGGTCTCCACTTTACGTAGACAATCATTGTTTTGGAGGATGGATGACAGCAAACTTCCCCAAACAAATTATTTCAACGTTAATCATGTTAAGCCAGACGGCTGCTTCCGATAACGCCGATAGTATCAAATTCCAAAGTCAATATTACCAGTGCTCTTTGCTTTCAGCAAAGTTGTTAAATCTAGATTGGTGTCCTTCGTCCCCAAATAACTGCCAGTTGGGAAATAACGTTTGTTCAACGACCAATCACTTCTCCTATCATACCCATGGGATACGAGATGCAATTCATTATGTCCACCATTGCTAGCATTGGCATAGGATCCGTCTATTCCTGAATGGTCCTCATCCCTTCCGTCATGAGCAATGAATCCGGACTAGGGTGCACCGTTTAAGTTATCCCCTCTCCAGACTGTGTAGAGTTAAGCCGCAGCATTCTTTTCACAAGGTTTGATGAGCAATCGTATCTCGCCTTCTGATAGTCTCCTCCCCTTAAATCGTTCAACAAGTATACCACTCTTTACACAGTCTATAATTTACCCTCACACACTAACAAGCAACACTGCTTTTGTGAACAGTGGTGCAAAACTTACTCCCATTACCATTACTAATTTTTGACTGAGGTAGAGCTCAATTCCTGGCACTGGATCCAAGCAAAATTATACAATTACAAAGGTAAGGAGTCTACCTCCCCTCCTCCTTCCAACCAATCTGAAAGAAAAGGCATGAGTGATACAAAAAATGCCACAATCGGCTGTTCTAGAACAAATTTTATTTTGCTCGAAAAAGACTAGCAAAAAGGAGGTCAGTTAAACCCTACCGTGTTGAAAATGAATTCCCTACTTTTAGTCTGTGCTGTCACTACAAAAACAAGCTTTTACAAATTAAAGGCGATAAGACCCTATCCCTACAAACCAATGATAAAGAAAACGAGGAAGTCGCATCGCTTCAAATGAGGACAAGAAGGGAACAACCTTGACACTTAAATAGGCGTTCATGATGGGGTCAGTTTGTACAAACAAGTTAGGTTACTCTGAGGTTGAATAAACAGATTTGATGATGTATTTCTTACGTGGAAAAGGACATAACTGCCAAATTAAAAGGACAATTAGTGCCTTCAACAAGTCAAAAGGAAAACACATGGGTCGAGCCGGAGTAGGAGCCGATTTGTCGAGTCTGAAGGTAGATAGAAATCGGTACCTTCTCGAAGTCCGTGGTTTCTAAGATTATAAAGTTTGGTGAGCGTCACCCATACAAGCGCACTACCTGTAATCTCGCAATGACAGTTGAGGGAATGTGTAGCCATACGACAAACAGGTGGATAAAAGTTGACCCAACTATGCTCAAATGTCTTCATTCCCTTGCTTCCTTGCCATTACTCACTATTCCAATCCATTGAGGCGAGTGAAATGAAGGACTGCCCTGCGTGAATTGGGCGCCGTTGAAGAAGAAGAAGACCAAAGACATAACTTGGAAATTGCTTACGAGAAAATACCATATTACACGATTTTAGATGATAAGCTTCCTCCCTCCGGTCCTATTCACCATCCTCAAAGTAACATGCTGTGGAGGGTCGAGGAACAAAATTCAAACAGGTATGAACGCGGGTACAGACAATGTTCCTCTTTCTCCATCCAATGTCAACGGGTGTGCTCGTCCTTGAGATTAGGTTAGAGATTGTACTGGTGACGAGGATATTTTAAGAACGTCTCCCAGTTGTTTCATTATTGCCACAGTCACAGTCAGGTCCTGTGCTGCTCTAAGTTACGACTACAGCTGGACGTCTATCTAGAGCCGTCAAAATCCACCAAAATCCCTAAGTTAGTCAAAAGAGACCCAGATTCTCATAGTAAACACGCGTTTTGATGACGACAAATCCATACCCCACCATTATTCTTCTACACAAAAACGGGTTTATGACTACACGATGCAGCACGCCCTTTGTGTGTGATTTACGAATGAAATTCACAGGTCAAATAGTGACAGCGTTTACAACTGAACAAGCACAGACGACTTCCACAAAAAGTGGGAAAAAACCACCCCAACACTTCGCACAGAAAGGTACAACGCATCAATATAGACAAAAATCTACGGCTCCGTAAAAAGAGGCAGAAGACGTCACGATATGGCACCTTGTTTCAATCGCATATCTATAGCCCATTCAACCGCCTTTCTGAGCTCAGACCTTTCATGAACTCGGAAAATATGCTCGAAGACTTGTGTATGGTCAACATTATCCCACAGGCGACATTTAACAGAAACCTATTTTATAGGCTCAAGGAAATACCCATTTGAAAGCAATGCAGTCCAGTAAAAATTTCAATATTGCAACGAGCAGCGCAAATTTGGATGCAAGTTACGGCGCTGGAAATTACATGCTTTAGTGCATATAAGGGCTGGATTATTTGTCATAGATGTGATTAGCTGTAAAAATCGTGACTTATCAAATTCAAGGCACTGAATTGTAACAGTAAACACGAGACAGCAATTTGATAGGACTACTAATGTAAGATAGTGATTAGCATAAACCCTCAACACCTCACCAAACTTATCAATTGTGACCCAAACAAAGGGAAAAAAAACAAGCACCATGGGACTAATCAATCATGTAACTGGGAGAAAGTTTCGTGTATATTCACCAAATAATTTCTATTCTTCATGATGTCCTGGACCCGTATGACTCAAAGCATGATCTTCCTCATGATCTTCATAGCCAGCATAGATTCCGGAATGCAGCTCATGTTCCCGATGAGGAGCGTCATGAGCGTTTTGGTGGAGCGACTCAGTAGGATCACCTCTCACTCTCGGCTCCCTGAGATGCGGATCAGTTTCCGAAAACATGGGGATCACTTTCGGAAAAGATAGTTCATTAGACTCTGCAAGGCTTGACTGAGAAATCGCATCTACAGAAGGCGAATTAACATCTGCCCACACGGGGCGGTAAACACCTTGTTGTTCAATGGTCCTTCTCAATGAAGAGGGAGATCCGTTAGGTTTTTGCGAGCGTGAGTTGGAATGCAAAGCAGACTCCTCAACGGGGTAGGGGTACGGACGCAGAATGTACGGCTGATCGGTGCGATATTGCAGCATGGCATCTGAGGCTTTAGATCGTGGTTGAGAATACTCCTTGTGAAGGGAATCAACGATGTAGACTTCAGGTCTCAAGTTACCGACTCCACTTATTCTGCTGGAATAATCGCCGTCATCAGTGCTATCGACTTTGCTGAAAGCGGTCAAATGGCATTCAGCCATGGGAATGCCACGCTCCTTACATTTGAGTATGGTCGTAAAAACCCCTTTGATGCCCTCGAAGATGCGCATTCGTGCTACCTTCATATCTATACATGCAAGGTAAGTATACGCCTACATTAACGTACCTTGTGCGTTGAGGTAGCATTCGTGCCGACGGTGAGACGAGTTCTCACCGTCTCGTGTATCCAGCGGTGGCTATGAAAGACAAATACACCGCACTACTCAGGGCTGAGCTTAATCTTGAAGGGGAGAGGGAGGCTTTCAAGACCAATGTCATTTAGAATAAACTAACCCAACAATTACTTTTTTGAGATATTAGGACAATAAGCTACTTGTTTTACAGAAGCGTAAATAAGGTCAAGAAGGCCAACAAAGAAGCTAGTATAGGTTCTGCACCATTCGTTTGCAGCTTAACAATGGGACCGGGTGAGAGAAAACTCAATTTAAATTTTAACGATTTCATGTACCCTGAAAAATTCCGAACCACGAGCAAATTCAGCTATTTAGAAGCGAAATATTCAAAGAAATATCCAAGAAAATCTTGGGATGAG